TGCAGCCCACCCAAAGCTCTCCTCAAAGCCAAGAGCTCGCGAGGGCCTGGGCAAACCTGTCCCTGATCATGGCAGGGGAGTTGAAGCTAAATTATTTTTGGGTCCTTTCAGCCCAAATCATTCTATTAAATCCACCAGCTCCTGAGAAATCCCAGCAGGTCCTCACTGGAAAAGCTCTGCAAAGCTAAACCCACTCCCTCCACAATCCATCAATGATGAAGTTGGGATCAACAAACACAGGGTGTGGTTTTATACCCTCAATTATTGCTTGATACTCCAAGTCTGGTTTATAAGAAAACCTGAAGAAAAGTGGCTGGATGGGAGCACCAAGCACCAATTACTGGTTGATAATCCCAACTTTATGGGGTTCAGACTTTGCACAAAACCCCCTCAAGAGCCTTTTTGCAGCCACCAGGTTTTTGCTGTTTTAAATATCACTCAAAGCCACCCATCACAGCTCACCTTTCTCAGCAAAGGAGAAACAACAGCTCCTTCAGCCTGTGCTTCCCTGAGACAATTTGTGGCACAGTCACAAATAAAAATTACATTTTAAAGGGAAAAATACAGCTTCAATAAAACCTGGAGCTGAGCCTTTCAAACACTTGTCCTTTATGTGCTTGCCAGCGTTACACACTCCAGGAATGGATCCAGAGGGAAACACAAAGCCAAACTGCCCTGCCTGGTGGTGATTACCCAGAACAGCCTCCACGGGCTCTGGTGAACAGCTCAGGTGAGTTCATGGGCTCCAGGGCAGGGCTGTGGCATCAGCTCCTGGCTGTGACACACTTGGCAACACATGGGACCCAGACCCCAAATTCACGTGGATGCCGAGGGACCAGCATGGTGAAGGTTCTGCTCAGGTCATTTAAATTATTACTCAGCAATTATTAATCCGCTCAGACTGGGTATCAGGAAAAATTCCTTTACTGAAAGAGTGATCAGGCATCAGCACAGGCTGCCCAGGGCAGTGCTGGAGTCACCATTCCTGGAAGACTTCAAACATGGTGTGGATGTGGCACTTGGGGACATGGTTTAGTGGTGATGGGGTAATGTCAGACTCAGTTTTAGGAGGCTTTTCCAACCTAAACAATTCCATAATTCAGTGACTCCATCACCAGACAGCAGCAGGGCTGTGCACACAGTGGGACAGAGCCTCCCCACAGCTCCTGTGGCTCCTCAGGCAGTCACCAGAGCCTGAGGCATGGCTGGAGTGGAGGATTCCTCCCTCCTAGGAGTCCCTGAGCTCCAAAACCAAAAATAATGCAGAGCTGGGACCCTCTCAAGCTGCAGAGAGCATCTCAGTCCCAGCTCCCTGGTTGGTTTGCTCCCACCTGGAGAAGCACCCCAATCCGCCAGTGCAGCCTCTTGTGCCCAGGCTGGGCCCCACTGACCCTGGCACCAAAGTGGGGTTCACATCTCATTCCAGGCTCTCAGGCCAGCACTGGGGGTCCTGGGAGGACCCAGCCCTGCTGTCCCTGTCTCTCCTGCAGTATTTGCCGTGGCTACCAGAGCACAGTAAAGGCTGTGGCACAGCCCCTCATGCAGGGAGACAAAGCCAAACAGCTCCCGTGGCTCCAGCCCAGCCTGGCTGGCAGATCCACAGACCCACAGCAGCCCTGCTCTGATTTCCACCATGGGGGACCCCCTCCCCTCCTGCCAGGAATATCCAAATTCAGCAAAACATCCCATGGAGGCAGAGCCAGGCACTTTCCACACAGAGAGCAGAGCATGGCACAGGTACCACACTGCAGAGGAAAATGGATTTTTCCAGATAACCAGCACAGGAAGTTCAGAGCTGTGCCAGCCTGTGGAGCAAAACAAGGACATCCACCCCTGGTCATGCCACCACAATGAAATCCTGGAATATTCTGAGCTGGATCCCTCAGGGATGATCAGTGCAGCCCCTGGCCCTGCCCAGACCCCCCAGCAAGCCCACCCTGAGCATCCCTGAGAGCGCTGTCCAAACGCTCCTGGAGCTCTGGCAGCCTTGGGGCCGGGCCCATTCCCTGGGGAGCCTGGGCAGTGCCAGCAGCCTCGGGGGGAAGAACCTTGCCCTGAGACCCATCCCAAACCTCCCCCAGCTCAGCTCCATTCAGTTTCCCAGAGTCTTGTCACTGACCTTCCAAGAACCCCTCCAGGAGGAGCTAAACTGTGGGGTCACGAGAGAATTGGGAAGAGCCAATTAAAGAGCCCAGCAGGATCCCCCAGTCTGCACCACATCACTGCTCACACACCCACAGGTTACTCTGTGCTGCATCCCCGAGGAGTTTCAGGGAATATTTCAGTGTATTCCATGGGATTCCAGCACTGCTGAGCCCAGGGATGGGCTCTGGGGGAAGCTTTATGCTCTCACACAGTTCACAGCACTCACATCTCCTAGGGCCCCCACTCAGGGACTTCTACTCACACCCAGCAGAACCTGCTGGTGAAATAAACCCAGCCCAGGGATTCCCTGCTCCAAGGTTTTATAAAGATTCATCAGCTCCAGCAGTGCCAAACAAGCCTGCAAGTACTGAAAACTAGAAATAGCATACTTTAAATCTCAGCCCCTTTGGAGACTTACTTGTAACTTCAGTTCAAGGTTTGTTAATTCCAGCACCACAAGGAGCTCTTTCCCCTTCTGCTCACCATCCTGAACACCAAGGGGTGTCTGTGGAGCCTGAGCACAGCCCCCTCTTCACCCTCCAACCACAATCTGCCCCCCCAAGAAGCCTGCCCAGCCTCAGTGACACCACTGACCTTCCCAGCTCACAGTTCCTGGAGTCACCCTGCACACACTGGACAGGCTGCACTTACAGGAACACTGAAATTCCAGGTATTCAAGTTGCATATTTGGTATTTAAAGCAGCCATGGGCTGAGGTGATCACGTTCCACTTGAGACTTCCCAACCAAATCACACTCTGAATAGCCTACAAAACACTGGCAGAGCAGGGAAGCACTGGTCCTAATTACCACACCTGCTAATTATTCATTAGAAGTAGACTTTTCCAGGATTGCTGGATTATTCCAAGCCCTGTCAGCGCACATCCATGAGTTCCAGTCAAGCAAAGAACGAGCAAAGCCTTTCCACACCTGCAACTTTAATGGTTGGGGCAGTTCCAGAGCCACCTCTTCAAGAGTGCAAGTCTTTAAACAGCTTAAAACCAGCAATAAAAAGTAAAATATAAATTTTTATTTAGAATTAAAGCAAATACTTCAGTATCACAAACACAATATTAAACTTCAAGAAATATACTGCTAAATTTGGAGGGAGCATTTATTTTTGCACAACCACAACATGCGCACAAAATCCAGAGAAAGATGTGGAGTCTGAAATTTTCAACATCTCACCACCAAAGCAGCTGGGTCACACAAAGTTTCGTACAAGAGTTAAGATAGACTGGAATAAGATGTTGACAAAATTTCTACAGAATCATCTTTATAGACAACAAGAAAGCTCTAAAGAGGCAAACATTGCAATCTAATCTTCTTCTGCTGAGTCTCTTTCAAACGTGTAGGCCATGAAGCAAGCATCTGGTCTCTTGGGGACAAGGGGATGCCCTGGTCTCACAATCTCAAAGCCCAAAAAGCTGAAAGTACGGAGCAGTGCAGCTAGAAAATAAAGAAGGAGACAGGTTTCACCCATGGGATACTGGAAAAAAACCCTTAAATTGCCACCAAAAGTCATTTTGTGTCTCTGGAGGCACAAGGAACACCCACCTCTGTCATCTCTGTTCTTGTGGAAACAGATGAATACGTGCTCAACTCGGAGCTGTTCTTCAGCAAACTCGAGAAGAACTGCAAAACTGCAAGAGAAACACCAGGGGTTCAGTGTCTGTGGAACAGGGAATGTCCTGGGATGGGAGGGACCCACAGGGATCATCCTGGCCCTGCACAGGCACCACAACAATCCCCCCCTGAGCACTGTCCCAATGCTCTGGCAGCAAGTGCTTCTTCAGAGAGCCTTAGCAAGGCCCTGAGAGCCAATCCACACAGGAATCCCTAAGGATTCCCCACAGGCTGGAGCCTCACACCACCAGATCCCTGAACCCGAGGCAGAACTCAAGGGCAGGACTCCTCAGTGCCACAGAAAGTGTTGGTGACACAGCCAAGGAGCTGCAGTGACAGACTCAAACCAGCCTGGAATTCTCAGTGCCTAAAAAATCCCAGACCTTGGGCTGGTTCTGCCTGCAAGTCCTGAAACCAGGCTCACAAGAGAGCCTCAAGTACCAAAATTAAAAGCTTTCAAAATACAAAGAGCAAAGTGTTCTCCCACCCCACTGAAAGGCCTCACATTAATCCACAGCCAAGTTTTCCCTGGCCCACCTGTCCTTGCTCCCCTCAGGCAGAGCACCACTGGGAATTTCAATGTAGAGGTTGCTGTTGTTCAGCACTGCTCTCCAACTGATGTGTTTGGCATCTGTAAGCCTTGACTGGACATTGAGAATTCTTGTCCTGTTGTTAGGTGTTAGTTCTTCTGTGACATTCAGCCTATTATCCTGCAGCAGGGAGAAAGGCAGAGTTATTTTTCCATTAATTTTTGGAGCAGGGATTGAGCCAGGGAATGCTGTCAAGCTCACCACGAGCTGTTTGCTCCCCATACTCACCGAATAAAATAAATTAGCTGAAAGATTGTGATCCCTCTGACTATTCCCTCGCCCACCTGGGATCTTCAGGGGTGGGTGAGGGACATCAGGAGCACCACCGAGGCCCCGGACCCAGGTTACTACAGCAATTGAAGGGAACCCTGGAACTGAAAAGGGAGCATGGTTAGACAGGTAGGGAGGCTTGGACAAAGCTCTGGGACTTCCAGGATTTAAACTGTTAAAAACAAAACAAACCTAGGCCACAGGACTCCTCCCACTTACAGTGGGAGGACAAAGGAAGCTCCACACCAGGGGCAGGGACAGTGCCCAGGGAGCTGCCACTGCAGTATTTTGGGTGAAGACTCATTTGGAGATGGAAAATACTCTGTTTGAGTGAGCCAGGTGTGTTTCTGTGCCAGGGCAGGCCTGATCTGACCTCACAGATGAACCTTTCTGCAGCAATGTGCTGATTTTTGCCCTCCTTGTTCTCAGGCAGCACAAACCCCCAGCCCAGCAGGGCAGGGATCACTTTTCCCTGGGATATTCACTACCAGACCTTCCCAGCTCCAGGCCAGGCAATTCCAGGGAATCATCTCCACCTCCAGTATTTTCAGCATGAGCTGAAGCCACACCTGAATCTCCGCAAAAACACCGCCAAACCTCTTCCCACCGAATTCCTCAGAGCGATGCCACAACGCTCAGCACTGGAGGAGGAACAAACTGTATTTTTGATGATGTGGGGAATATGTTTAAGTTTCTCCCCATCCTTTTCAAGGCTGTTTTCACTTCTCCCGTGGCAGAGCAGCGCTGGCCCCTCCCTCTGCACCATCCTTCACCCGCAGGCTCCACTCTTGAGTTGCGTCATCTCAGCAGATGCAGCAATCGAGGCCCTTGGGGGAATTTTCACAATCGTCCTGTCTCCGGGTGCCAGCAGCAGCCACTGCAGCCATTTGCAAATCCGAATAAACAGCTACAAAATAATCCACCATTTTGCACGCTTCGCACCCGAGTTGCGGGGTTTGGATTGGTTTGGGGTTTTTGGGTTTTTTCCCCCTTTTTTTTGATTTTTTAATTTTTTTGTTGTTGTTGTTTAATGAGCTTGAAACTTGTGATGAATAATCCGTATTAGAAAGGCTGGGAATGGGCAGAGAGGTTAAATATTATGTACTGGAAGGTAAACTATATTTAGATTTTAATGTGAAGCAAGCACAGCAATTACGAAGTTTTATTAAAAATAAAAAAATCTACACTAATTGAATGCGTTAATTAGCCTCAAATCCATTATTTTAAGCTCTTTGAAAAAGACATTTTTCTTTAGTACAAATATTATTTATTTTTATCTGAGAATAACTGTGAACTATACATTTCTAATTTCCCTCACAAATAAACCTTTAAAAACCTTTTCCAAAGGTGTGCTGTGACAATTTATAACATTTTCACCTTCCTGCCCAAGAAGGTGGTGCAGAAGGAAGGTCTGCAGCCACAAATATGCTTTAGTGATGTTTACGTGCACTTGGGGAGAAAAAAAAAGCATCTTTAGCTCGCAGTTAAATATAAAAATGGTTAAAAAACTCCTTCCACAGTTTATACACGAGGTGGAAAGGGCAGATTGATGTCCTGAGCATCCACCACTCCACACCAGCCGCTTTAATTCAGGTATTTTCTTTCTTCCCAGCACCTGGGGGGGTGTTTAATCTTTCGGTTGAGTTTTTTAACCAACAGCTCTCGTAACACTCTTACCCTCGATTAGTTTTGCGGAGTATCCAGGGTTACATAAGGGGATAACAGCCTTCAATCCTTCGATATCTTTGCCTAATTGTTGTTCTCCCCTCGGGCGCCCCCCCTCCCCAGCACGGCTCCTGCCCCAGCCTCTCCCAGCCCGGGGGTGCCCTCAGGGGTCCCTCCAGGGCCGAGACAGCTCTGGGGCCTCAAAAACACCTTTTTTTGTGGTTTTTC